AGTCCTCCATGCAGATACTGCAGCAACATTTCAACAAGCGGTAAATTACGTTTCAAGCTTGCTCCTATCATGGAGGGACGAAGGATTAATGGCAAACCCACCAGGCCATAATTTGAAAATGCCGAATTCATGTGTCCACATTCTGAAGGTGAGAAGGTGAACTCCAGCATCATTAAAAGCAGATCTCGAGGATCCTTTGAAGTATGAGTTAGCTGACGACAAGGAAGGTTTATTAAGTTCAACTTGTCCAGCCGCAAGTCCACTGTTTTGACCTGTAATTGAACAAGATTTTCAGAAAACTGGATAGTATAGTAAAAAGGAATATCCCAGATAGAGACCTTTAAGAATAAGTTTAACCTTGCAAATTGAAGAGGTTATGGAGATCATCAATTTCGTGCTGGGTTGGTGCCCGTGGATGGTTGTCCTCATCAACAATACCATCCTTTGTCAGATTCAAGCCAGAAAACGTAGCTGCCAACTCCTCTGACTCACTTAAACTTGATGTGACACCATTGAATGAGCTTGAACCAGTTACACGTCTTTTATCCACAGAGCTGACCCTACCTCCTCCAACAGAAGGAATGCGGGGACTAGGAGCCCTTGCTACAAGTTGAGGATCAGGTGTGGCATTTCTTGACAAGGAGGCACCTAAAGCAGATGCATAAGTATGAGAAGCAGAGGACCCAACATTTTGAACTGCAGCCATGCCCTGTTTATTTGAAACAGATCTTAGAGCATCAATTGATGCCAAATCACGGTGGAGATGAGCAAACTGGGACTCAGAAGTTTCAACATCATCATCAAATGCATTGCGACTGGCAGGACGAGAGGGATGCCTTGAGAGAGCAGTAGTTTGTTTCATGTCATCCTGCAATGTAAATGAGTCCATCAAGCACGAGATAGAGAGATAGAGAGAGAGAGAGAGAGAGAGAGTTTACATCATTTGATGAATTAAAGCTTAAAAGAAATTGAATATATGCCAGAAAATTGACCACAAAGACAAGCATAAAATAGAACTACCAACTTAATATTATTCTTTAAGGCTCATTCTTTTGACAGAATGGTGAAATAGTGACTATAAATATCCTAAACATGTGAAAACATGCAAATAGAAAACACAGTGGAAATTATCTGCTGCAATCAAGTTTTGTTTTGCATCAATCGACTCGCCTGTTAACAACTTGTACACTGTAAACTGACATATCTACAGCGAGGCGCAAATACGAACATGACTCTCATAAGCAACGGCAAAACAAGTAGTGAGATTTCTCAAATGTATCAAATAAGCTCACTCACATTGCACATAATCTCTAATCAATCAAACAAGGATTTCCAAAAACATCACAGTAAAGATCTAATCAGCACCACTTCACATTCACAAGAAAAAATGGAAAAAGCCAAATGAATAAATGACATTAAGCTGTCTGCCTTTTTAAGAAAAGAACAACCATAACCTTAAAGGAAACTCATAAACCGACAAAACACACTCGGGGAAGCAGCCAGCAGAAATCAAGCT